TGCACTACTACGCCTGTAGCTCTTCTACAGTTACTGCCGATCGCAAGCCCGGGTAAAGGAGGAGGGTTGGGCACGGGGTTAGCGACCCCACCCCGTAGAAAACTAACTCGCTAAAAAGAACGCTAACCAGGAAAGATAAATCAAATGATGTAGTGCATGCATATTTGGTGCTTTGTATCAATGTTTATGTGTTTAAATAAATAAATAGATATAGGTATCTACATGAAATTACTACAAAATGAATTTTATACTGACATTTTATAAAGATTTTTGGTTTATCTCTTGAAGCTATCAGATGAGGTAGGTTTACACTTAAAACAAAAACACAGCTTGCAGACATGTGAAAATGTCAGAATGAATCCATTACTAGTTTCATATACACTCTCCAAATACATTGCGTTTTAAAGACATATTTATTTTCTTATACCAATAGTATGTAGCAGCTAAGAAGAGATTTAAGGAAACAATTATATTCCGTTTGGATTATGATCAGTCTCAGTTGATATATATGTATTCCGCAGATTGTCTCGATATATACAGTATTTCACAAGTTTTTTTAGAATAGATGGGATGTATCTAGAAGTGAGATTCGGGATGCTTGTTTCATTCTGTTTGTGACTAGTCAGCCTGATGTACCTGCATCTAAGAATTGATATGTATTTAAAAGTATCAACAACTGGCCATTCCATAATTAGTTACTGTGTTAATTAAGCAACTTATGATAATTTTAAAAATAAATTTATCTGTTAAGTCTGACGTAAAAAGTATTACAAAACAAGGCGTGGAACATTATTTTGGAGGGGTTTCACTTTAATGTTCAGATCTTCACTGAACAGTTTATGGTGCTATATCAGTGGTGGACTGATATTATCAGTAAGAGCATTAACTCTAGAGTCCAAATATAAAAAGATGATAAATCCTACATCAAACAAAATCTGTGTCGTGGATTTCAGTGCTAGGGATTATGGAAAACAAAAAAAAATATGCAAACAGAAGAAAAGAGTATAATGATTTTCATAGTTGTACAAGAAAATTAATTCTTTGCATTTATTTTGCGCAAAAATGTGAAATGAAAAGAAAGACATTTTTCGTATAAGCATAACAGTGAAATATCAAAAACTACCTTGTTAGTATTACAATTAATTAATGGCATTAAAAGGGATAAAAATAATTAACATAGTTATTTTATACAAGGTGAAACGTGATTAGAAAAATGACTGGGCTCTCAAAACAAATACCTAGTTCAGAGAGAAAGGTAAAACATGAAAATTTAATCTTTAAACGCTCTCTGTCATCTAACGTTCTTTAAATTACGGACCAGAAATTTTGTATTTGACAAAAGCAACAACGTATAAATGCTTGGATATTACAATTAAAATATAAGGATGGGTTTCTTTTATCATAAGAATGAATGTGTTTTATGTGTAGAGCATTGCGAACTCAATTTAATTTTCTTTTCAATGAGAAATGCAATTGTTAACCTTACGATATTTGCCTGTCTATATACCTATTGTTCAGTCCAGCAGGTTGGGATAATCATAAAAAGGTTAATATCCTAGGTGAAAATTTAACAAAAATCAATGCGCAGCATCCTTTTTCTACCGTTATTCCAAGACCAGTACCACGTAAAGCAATTCACAGAGAACCCGAAATAATGGCCGTTGATGAACAGGTATGCCATAATACTTGTCATATACTTTTTTAAGATCATGACATAATACTCGTTGCATATAACATATGTTGAATATATACCCATAAGTTGTGCGAAAAAGACTCACTTCTGGGGTTGTTAACAGATGAAGGGAGATCTTAGTAAATTTGAAAACTACAGTGAAATCATACTACTTTCAATACCAGGCGTTTTTCGACAGAATATTCCTGAACCAAATGAAAGATTCAGAAGACCTTCAACTTTGAGATTAATAAAGCTGACTTTCGCAAAGATTAATCATATACCGAACAAACTGAGGCACTAAGGATCATCGTTGTCTACTCAGTCGGATGAAACTCATCACAATACATCAACTTTCTTGATTATGAGAAAGCATTCGATAGAGCTGATAAATAAACTTCGTGGAAATTCTTTAGACACTATCGTGTATCTGAAAAGATTGTCATCATTATCTGGAACTCTTACAAAGAACTGGACTACAAAGTCGTACCTGAAGTACAGTTCACAACCCCATTCCAAGTGATAATCCGTCTCAGACGAGATTACCTAGTTCCACCTTTTCTCTTCTAGATAGTGACTCAGTTATGAAGATAGTATTAGCGGTAATAGAGAGGACCAGGCATCTAAAATACGATTCAGGAAATGTAAATTAGTGACATAAGAAACTGAGAAACTTAGAGGCTTATAATTTGTGGAAGACAAAGACTGAATGCACCTACGCCTTTATTTTAAAGGATCAACTTACTGCCTGTATGTGCTGTCGGGAATCAGTGAAAAGATTTACTCAGAACCTAGAAATCTTAATGAACCCAAACGCATATCACTTCTGACATTTGACCCATATACTGAATCCCAGTATTACATGAGCAGAATGGGTATTCAGCATTTTGAATAAGTTTGCTTAGTGAAAGATAATGATTGATATAAGTGGTTTATCTATATATTACTTTCAAATAGATCTAATTTTAGATTCACATTAGTATCTTCATTTAAATTAAGTGATCATGACTAAAGAAATCACCACGTTTTATGGGAAGCCTATTGCTATTGATTATGTTTAGCGGTAATCTTGTTGCAACTAGAGTGTACCATTTAATGAGTCTATAGAATGCAATGATGGGGAAAAGTTGTAACTCAGAAGAATTATTACTGATTTTACGTCCACTACACTGGATAGCCTAATCGGCTAGAGTGTCCAACTCAAATAAGGCAAAATCTTTAAAATATGTAAAATTAGAAAACTTTTTTTAAATATTAGAAAAGCTAAAGTGAATAAACGATGAAGTTACCATTTTCATGACAAAAAATGAAAAAAGATTCTTTAGGAAACATTTACTGAATTATTTTCCTAAAAAGCTATTTGTTTCTGATTTGCGAATCATCAGTAGTGTGCACCTAATATCAATCCGTAAGCGAAAGCATTTTCCTATTACACCAATTTCAACAGTCTACGCAACCAAATAATAAACCAGGGCCAACGAGCCTTTAACTAAGACAAAACATCTGTACAGTGCTTCTTAAGATGATATCAGTTCATACTGAATACTACCATCACCATAAGTAGTTCACTGAGATACACAGAATATATATATAGTCACAATTGATTGATCACTGGGTGGTGATCAATCTCATGTGTGTCAAGTCCTTCTTAGTGCAGATCGAATCCGTCAGGGAGCACCAGTTCTCTCAAAATTACAGGTTCACCTTGTTGACGAGTGCCAAGTAGCACAAAACCCTGGTCCGGGGTTTCCTGTTGACTACCTCCAACCACCATCTAATATATATATATATATATATATATATATATATATATATATATACAGTGTTACAAACATTTGTATATTCTTACAATTTTATACATAATAAGTCTCAAGGAATATTGTTTTTTACCTAATATAACAAAAAACCTGTAATTATGGTGTATATTAATATTATAAAACCAAGATTTGAGATTAATACACATATTGTTAATAATAATTTGTGAGAAGCTTAAACCTTATATGAAAAACAAACACATGATTGAAACTTCACCTCAACTATAAGTGTGTTCAATTGAAGAATTTGTGTGAAAATTTCTATTTCTATATAATCATTTTATAAAAAATTATAAAACCATTTTTTGTTATATTCAACATAAATATTGTTTATTACAACGTGGTTAATAATAAGTCTAAATAATTGGTTTAGTGTGTATTTATGTGAATAAGGTAAATTTCTCAACTTACTACAGTATGACACGGTTTATTTAGCAACCAGCTTATTTGTTCAGTGATTGTGCTATCAAAAAAGAAAATAACTGATAAACATTGAAGCAATTGGAAATTTTCAAGGAGCAAGAAGCTCAAAAAGATTTTTCTTTAATATTTAGTCAGTCAGTCAGCTGCAACGTAGGACCAGGCACATATATGCATCGATCCAAGTTGCCATACTGCATTAGCACAACAAGATGAACACCAAATTCATAGAAGTAGTCACAACAAAGGTACTAGTATATAAAAGAAAGATTGCGTATAAGGAGATAGTACAGGAAGAAAGAATTAGTATGTAGAAAGAAAGATATCAAATAATTTTAGTCTCATAGTTTGAGGGAAGACAGAGTGTATATATCTATGCCATTGTGATCGATTCTCAACCATGGCACCCAGTGTCTCGAATCATTGGTTACGATAGTCACGCGGACCCCAACCAGGTAGTCTGCATCTACCAACATGGCTCAGACCAGAAGTTAGTGACTTCAAGCACTGATGCCACGTTTCGGTTTGGCCGCCCCTAACTTTCTTCCAATTATCCGTAACACCGGTTAGCATTGCGCGTCGTGGTAATCGGTGTTCAGGCATACGCAACACGTAGCCCAATAATGTAAAATCCAATGTTTTTTAAACAGTATGTACAAAAGAAAGGCTTCAGTAACAAAAGTTACATAATATTATCTGATATTAACATCAAACTAGTTTGATGAGAAATAATTACTGTTCTGTAATTTATACAATTTACAATTCTCAATTCATAAATTTTGAGTATAAAGCTATCCTTCTGATTGCTAGTAATTTATGTGAAGCTTTCTAATCTGTAGTGTAAAAGAACATATATTGTAACTTATATCTTTAATTTTGTGTAATGGAATAAAACTAGATATTTTCGCCATTCGACTTTTCGAAAAATTATCATGGGTGCTTATTGGTCAATCAATAATTATTTTAGAAAATGGTTCCGAGTTTTCTAAACACGAAATATACTTTGTTGGGGTTTTATTACATGTTATTGATTATTGCAGGCTTTTCTCCTTCGACTTTCAACAATTAAAGAAAACGAGAATATAGATCTTAACATGCTAAAAGAATTCTTAGGCTCTGGGGGTTTACACTCCAATTCAAAACAGCCTACAAATATTTTTAAAATTGGATCAAGTGCTAAAACCATGGATGATAACAGTCGTTTGCCGGTCAGTCCAACCCCTATACTTCGTACAAAAGTAAGTTGATAGCTACATGAATAGTACGGTGTTATGTAAATGCAATTTGATTTCTGGTTATTTGGTTCAGCAGAGTGTGTACAGCTACAGAAATCTGATTTCGTATTTCAATGAATTATGAATATTATCTAACAAATAATACCAAGTAAAATATGTGTTGTTTTAGAATACTGTAGGGCAATAATCTCAGCAGCGATAGTATTTAAAACACAGAAATTTCTTTACTGACTTTATACAGACTTTTAGACTCTTGGTACTATAAATCTAGAAATATGAACAAATCCAAAGGCGGAGATATGATTGAAGAATTACTACAAGTTCCTGAAATCATCTGGAAAAGATGCCGAAATCGAAAATAATCCATGGATTCGGTCAATCATATTAGGAAGGAACCTGAATACATCAGGTTATGAAGTGTGTTGATTGACCAAACACATTAAGGACAATTCTCGACTGTCGTGAGATTTTTATAGTGTGATTTTTGATGCCTCTTAATAACAAAAATTTAGAATAGAATACGTGCAACAGTTTACAAAGATTTTATATTAATTTTAAGATTAATGTATACTGATTATCTATCATTTCATCCGTCTTCAATATTTTCTGAACAGATTTCTCCAGTAGGTCCAACAAATAATTTGACTAGCACTCCTTCTATACAAGGTACTTCAGATGGCGTACTAGCTGATTTCTTTTCAAATCTGCTTAAAAAGCGACCAGTTGTGAATAACACTACTGGAGAAACGTCTTCAGAGCCTCAGCTTCAACGTACATCACTATCATCAGGTAAGCTGAGGTAACAATAAATTTAGTCTACACAACTAACAATGTTGTCCAGATACATTAAACTATTATATTGCTTTTGTAAAAGCTATTAAATGATTTCTAACATTGAGAAAAACTGGTCAACAGATTATTACTTTATTAAAACCTATTTAATAAATGAACTACAGAATGTAAAATGTTTCTCATTTAAGTCGCTATACATCAAATTAAAGAATGTTTGGATATTTACGTACAAATATATGTTTGCACACAACTTCGAATACATTGGTTGCTTGGATCTCCCCACTGGTGTTTTAGACTGTGATCTGTCAGTCTTGGCACAAGCTAGTGGCTATCTAGACTTAGTAACTAAGTGAATAACGTGATGGAGTTTGAAGCGAACCGAACTGGGTTCAAGTTCCGGAATGAACATCAACTGTGGGATTCAGATACATTCATCTGATGCGTCCAAAATAGGGTGAAACGCGTGTCCTGGATCATAATGCTAGCCATTATCCATCTCTGCTTAAAGAAAATCTCATGGTTTGTTTGCTGAGAAACGATGGCTATGGAAATTGGATATTCTGGTATATATCGATACAGTGTAAAAACTTTTCCACGTGAAATTGACAGAAACATTAGAAAAATAACCAAAAACTGGTGATGGGTGCTAAGCACCTGTTAGATTGCATATAATCTTGGTTAACATTAATGCATAAAATTTTGAACTGAATATTACAGGTACTGTAGTGCTACCACTGATTTGAACTGGATGAAAAAAATCCAAATGATTACCAGTTATAGTTAATATTGCCATATCAGTAGTACGTCTTAACTGTATGTTCACACCATTAATAGCTTACTGCATTAAAAAATCCAAGTAAATTAGATCGAAAATAATTATGGAGGTTCTTAATGAATTGAACTACGTTATGAGTGACCTTTATTCTCCTTCACAGATTTTTCAAGGACAAGAAATACTCCAAAATTTAGATTTTAAAAAACAACTTATTCTTAGGGTAAATGTTTATTCGGAACGTATACTTGTTGTGGAATTTTGAGAAACCAAAAAACATCGTTTTAATTCAAGATAAACATCACCTTACAAATAATACAAAACCGTATAATCAACTCAGTAAATTATTGCAAACAGTTGAAGAAGTTAAGACGTCATTTAAAATATCTGTTCGAAGAGCAGAAAAAAATCCTAGAATAAACCGTTTTACACAGAATAAACACAAAATGCTCTAAAAAATGAACATATTTAATAAATGAAATCAAATAATTAGTTATTGTAGGTTTCGAAAATGCAAAAACATTTATTGACTAAAAATTTTATAATTTGTAGACCAAAAAAACAAACAACAAGACAACATGGATACAAGTGTAAATAGTTCAATGTACAGCATAAATGAAAATGGGGAAAAACATTTCAATATTGTGGTTAAAGAAAAACATACCGAGAACGCGAAACTGGAAAGAGATTTCAACGAGATTACCAAACAAAACGAATACACGAGGACTGATCATGAAAATGTGGAAAACCTGAGTGACGCGACAACAAATAATCAGCCGATAAAAATAGAAAAAGATGAAGGTAAAAAAAAGCAACAACATGAGATAACAAAAGGTAAAAAAACGAGAGAAATGCAAGTGAATAATGAACGCAAAGAGTCGGAAAAACCAGAAGGGTACAAAGAAAAAATACAGTCACAAATAAAATACACAAATAGCGAGATACAAGAGACAAGTCATCAGGAATTCCTAAATCAAAACAAAACTCCCACTGAACTCATAGAAAAAATTGATGAAGTGGACAGTGCACATAAACTCGACGCTCCTTTGGTCGCCTGTATGAGTGCGTCGATGGCACACTTAAATCCAGTGACTGATCAACCACCTGTTGTCGAGTTGTCACAAACATCAGATAATCTGACTGACCACATTGACACAGCGCATCTAAACGACCAACTCCACATCTCTCCTGACAACACAATTCCCACTGATCTCAACGACGAAATCAATGAAGTGGACAGCGCACCGAACTCCGAGTCGACAATTACTCCGAGTCACATATCTCCATTGTTAGGACTCACCTCAAAAACCAGTATCACTACAACTCGCAGTGACACGATGACTGAAAATCGTTCTGACGAGAATCACGAACTACCTGAGACTAGTCATCAGGAATTCCTAAATCAAAACAAAACTCCCACTGAACTCATAGAAAAAAATTGATGAAGTGGACAGTGCACATAAACTCGACGCTCCTTTGGTCGCCTGTATGAGTGCGTCGATGGCACACTTAAATCCAGTGACTGATCAACCACCTGTTGTCGAGTTGTCACAAACATCAGATAATCTGACTGACCACATTGACACAGCGCATCTAAACGACCAACTCCACATCTCTCCTGACAACACAATTCCCACTGATCTCACGACGAAATCAATGAAGTGGACAGCGCACCGAACTCCGAGTCGACAATTACTCCGAGTCACATATCTCCATTGTTAGGACTCACCTCAAAAACCAGTATCACTACAACTCGCAGTGACACGATGACTGAAAATCGTTCTGACGAGAATCACGAACTACCTGATGACTAGTCTCAGGAATTCCTAAATCAAAACAAAACTCCCACTGAACTCATAGAAAAAATTGATGAAGTGGACAGTGCACATAAACTCGACGCTCCTTTGGTCGCCTGTATGAGTGCGTCGATGGCACACTTAAATCCAGTGACTGATCAACCACCTGTTGTCGAGTTGTCACAAACATCAGATAATCTGACTGACCACATTGACACAGCGCATCTAAACGACCAACTCCACATCTCTCCTGACAACACAATTCCCACTGATCTCAACGACGAAATCAATGAAGTGGACAGCGCACCGAACTCCGAGTCGACAATTACTCCGAGTCACATATCTCCATTGTTAGGACTCACCTCAAAAACCAGTATCACTACAACTCGCAGTGACACGATGACTGAAAATCGTTCTGACGAGAATCACGAACTACCTGAGACTAGTCATCAGGAATTCCTAAATCAAAACAAAACTCCCACTGAACTCATAGAAAAAATTGATGAAGTGGACAGTGCACATAAACTCGACGCTCCTTTGGTCGCCTGTATGAGTGCGTCGATGGCACACTTAAATCCAGTGACTGATCAACCACCTGTTGTCGAGTTGTCACAAACATCAGATAATCTGACTGACCACATTGGACACAGCGCATCTAAACGACCAACTCCACATCTCTCCTGACAACACAATTCCCACTGATCTCAACGACGAAATCAATGAAGTGGACAGCGCACCGAACTCCGAGTCGACACCACGATGACTGAAAATCGTTCTGACGAGAATCACGAACTACCTGAGACTAGTCATCAGGAATTCCTAAATCAAAACAAAACTCCCACTGAACTCATAGAAAAAATTGATGAAGTGGACAGTGCACATAAACTCGACGCTCCTTTGGTCGCCTGTATGAGTGCGTCGATGGCACACTTAAATCCAGTGACTGATCAACCACCTGTTGTCGAGTTGTCACAAACATCAGATAATCTGACTGACCACATTGGCACAGCGCATCTAAACGACCAACTCCACATCTCTCCTGACAACACAATTCCCACTGATCTCAACGACGAAATCAATGAAGTGGACAGCGCACCGAACTCCGAGTCGACAATTACTCCGAGTCACATATCTCCATTGTTAGGACTCACCTCAAAAACCAGTATCACTACCTCGCAGTGACACGATGACTGAAAATCGTTCTGACGAGAATCACGAACTACCTGAGACTAGTCATCAGGAATTCCTAAATCAAAACAAAACTCCCACTGAACTCATAGAAAAAATTGATGAAGTGGACAGTGCACATAAACTCGACGCTCCTTTGGTCGCCTGTATGAGTGCGTCGATGGCACACTTAAATCCAGTGACTGATCAACCACCTGTTGTCGAGTTGTCACAAACATCAGATAATCTGACTGACCACATTGACACAGCGCATCTAAACGACCAACTCCACATCTCTCCTGACAACACAATTCCCACTGATCTCAACGGAACAAAGTGGACAGCGCACCGAACTCCGAGTCGACAATTACTCCGAGTCACATATCTCCATTGTTAGGACTCACCTCAAAAACCAGTATCACTACAACTCGCAGTGACACGATGACTGAAAATCGTTCTGACGAGAATCACGAAACTACCTGAGACTAGTCATCAGGAATTCCTAAATCAAAACAAAACTCCCACTGAACTCATAGAAAAAATTGATGAAGTGGACAGTGCACATAAACTCGACGCTCCTTTGGTCGCCTGTATGAGTGCGTCGATGGCACACTTAAATCCAGTGACTGATCAACCACCTGTTGTCGAGTTGTCACAAACATCAGATAATCTGACTGACCACATTGACACAGCGCATCTAAACGACCAACTCCACATCTCTCCTGACAACACAATTCCCACTGATCTCAACGACGAAATCAATGAAGTGGACAGCGCACCGAAACTCCGAGTCGACAATTACTCCGAGTCACATATCTCCATTGTTAGGACTCACCTCAAAAACCAGTATCACTACAACTCGCAGTGACACGATGACTGAAAATCGTTCTGACGAGAATCACGAACTACCTGAGACTAGTCATCAGGAATTCCTAAATCAAAACAAAACTCCCACTGAACTCATAGAAAAAATTGATGAAGTGGACAGTGCACATAAACTCGACGCTCCTTTGGTCGCCTGTATGAGTGCGTCGATGGCACACTTAAATCCAGTGACTGATCAACCACCTGTTGTCGAGTTGTCACAAACATCAGATAATCTGACTGACCACATTGACACAGCGCATCTAAACGACCAACTCCACATCTCTCCTGACAACACAATTCCCACTGATCTCAACGACGAAATCAATGAAGTGGACAGCGCACCGAACTCCGAGTCGACAATTACTCCGAGTCACATATCTCCATTGTTAGGACTCACCTCAAAAACCAGTATCACTACAACTCGCAGTGACACGATGACTGAAAATCGTTCTGACGAGAATCACGAACTACCTGAGACTAAGTCATCAGGAATTCCTAAATCAAAACAAAACTCCCACTGAACTCATAGAAAAAATTGATGAAGTGGACAGTGCACATAAACTCGACGCTCCTTTGGTCGCCTGTATGAGTGCGTCGATGGCACACTTAAATCCAGTGACTGATCAACCACCTGTTGTCGAGTTGTCACAAACATCAGATAATCTGACTGACCACATTGACACAGCGCATCTAAACGACCAACTCCACATCTCTCCTGACAACACAATTCCCACTGATCTCAACGACGAAATCAATGAAGTGGACAGCGCACCGAACTCCGAGTCGACAATTACTCCGAGTCACATATCTCCATTGTTAGGACTCACCTCAAAAACCAGTATCACTACAACTCGCAGTGACACGATGACTGAAAATCGTTCTGACGAGAATCACGAACTACCTGAGACTAGTCATCAGGAATTCCTAAATCAAAACAAAACTCCCACTGAACTCATAGAAAAAATTGATGAAGTGGACAGTGCACATAAACTCGACGCTCCTTTGGTCGCCTGTATGAGTGCGTCGATGGCACACTTAAATCCAGTGACTGATCAACCACCTGTTGTCGAGTTGTCACAAACATCAGATAATCTGACTGACCACATTGACACAGCGCATCTAAACGACCAACTCCACATCTCTCCTGACAACACAATTCCCACTGATCTCAACGACGAAATCAATGAAGTGGACAGCGCACCGAACTCCGAGTCGACAATTACTCCGAGTCACATATCTCCATTGTTAGGACTCACCTCAAAAACCAGTATCACTACAACTCGCAGTGACACGATGACTGAAAATCGTTCTGACGAGAATCACGAACTACCTGAGACTAGTCATCAGGAATTCCTAAATCAAAACAAAACTCCCACTGAACTCATAGAAAAAATTGATGAAGTGGACAGTGCACATAAACTCGACGCTCCTTTGGTCGCCTGTATGAGTGCGTCGATGGCACACTTAAATCCAGTGACTGATCAACCACCTGTTGTCGAGTTGTCACAAACATCAGATAATCTGACTGACCACATTGACACAGCGCATCTAAACGACCAACTCCACATCTCTCCTGACAACACAATTCCCACTGATCTCAACGACGAAATCAATGAAGTGGACAGCGCACCGAACTCCGAGTCGACAATTACTCCGAGTCACATATCTCCATTGTTAGGACTCACCTCAAAAACCAGTATCACTACAACTCGCAGTGACACGATGACTGAAAATCGTTCTGACGAGAATCACGAACTACCTGAGACTAGTCATCAGGAATTCCTAAATCAAAACAAAACTCCCACTGAACTCATAGAAAAAATTGATGAAGTGGACAGTGCACATAAACTCGACGCTCCTTTGGTCGCCTGTATGAGTGCGTCGATGGCACACTTAAATCCAGTGACTGATCAACCACCTGTTGTCGAGTTGTCACAAACATCAGATAATCTGACTGACCACATTGACACAGCGCATCTAAACGACCAACTCCACATCTCTCCTGACAACACAATTCCCACTGATCTCAACGACGAAATCAATGAAGTGGACAGCGCACCGAACTCCGAGTCGACAATTACTCCGAGTCACATATCTCCATTGTTAGGACTCACCTCAAAAACCAGTATCACTACAACTCGCAGTGACACGATGACTGAAAATCGTTCTGACGAGAATCACGAACTACCTGAGACTAGTCATCAGGAATTCCTAAATCAAAACAAAACTCCCACTGAACTCATAGAAAAAATTGATGAAGTGGACAGTGCACATAAACTCGACGCTCCTTTGGTCGCCTGTATGAGTGCGTCGATGGCACACTTAAATCCAGTGACTGATCAACCACCTGTTGTCGAGTTGTCACAAACATCAGATAATCTGACTGACCACATTGACACAGCGCATCTAAACGACCAACTCCACATCTCTCCTGACAACACAATTCCCACTGATCTCAACGACGAAATCAATGAAGTGGACAGCGCACCGAACTCCGAGTCGACAATTACTCCGAGTCACATATCTCCATTGTTCGAACCTACTTCAGACATGTTAAGCAGCTTAGTACCTGCTACTAATAACTCCTACGTTGGTCTTTCCGACATTCTAATTAACGAAAATAATGTGGCTGTTCTACCTGATATGGCTACATCGGGATCCGATTTTACATATACTGTTCTTGTTGATGCAGATTATTCCAAAAATACATCGTCATATGGTAATTCGATTTCATCTGAGAATTTTTCCAATACTATTACGTCCCCGACAAATGAAGGAACTGCATCTCGTGCTTCTTCAGTAATCAATTCACCACTCTCCATTCAAAAGTCCCTACAAAGTATAAAAGTCAGTTCGCGTTTGAAACCGTCGTCTTATACGAACGCCACAATCCAAAAGAACAGTTCATTACCGCCAAGCCCCAAACTATTACAAAAACCAACAGTTAAACAAAGCGTAAGTGGTTCACAAAGGTCACCTACAATGACTGGATCGAATTTCGGACAGACAAATAATTTAACGAATACCAAAATAAACTATGCAAGTTCAACAAGTGTGAATACATCACCTCATCTTATCAGAAAACCATTATCTTCCTTGTCAAAGAACACTGATAGTAAAAAGTAGAACATTATTTTTAATATGTCACAAAAAATAAACAATAAGAAAAAGTAATTTTTCCACATTATTTTCATTACGATCATTATTTTACTTAAAATATTTACTTTTAATTATAATACATGACGTAGAGTGATCGTTCTTAACCGCTTTATTATAGGACATTATGGGGTTTTATTCAGGATATATATTTTTTTAATGAATGTTTTTAGTGTTTCCTTCATTTACTAATGACGACAATAATAATCAAAAAAAGGAAGTTAAGACGTTGAAATGAACTTACTGCACGGCGTTAAAACAACCATATTACTATCACTTGACCATAAATAAATAAATTCACCCATTTACTAGCTACTTGCATTTAAGCCACACTCTATATGTGGGGGCTAATGATACTGCTCGGTTGCCGAATCTGAAGTAGGTGTAGCAAGGTTCCAACCTAGAACTTGGTGCCTGAAAGTCGAACAGCTTAACCTTGTTTGACGGGGCGAGATACACACAAATACCATACAACTCCATTTGAAGATAGCACACAAAAACAGTGTGATGCAATGTCCCATTGCCCTTACCAGAACATACAACAGGTTAGGACACCATCGCTTAAAACAACATAAATTATTAGTTAGACAGAGTGAATGGAAGTGATAAATCAGTCGCTTGTTTTGACGAATTCGATTATTTAACCACATAAGTGTTCCGACACGAGAAATTAGTGTCATACACTAAGTAGTTCTAACTTAAATAATCAAATTTTTTATTAGGACAATTTATGAAATGTAGATAAGCTTTCCTGGGAGAAATAACGCCAGGATCAAGTGAAAAGTGGATTTTTGGATAAACCATCATAAACATTAAAAAAGTACGCGCGAAAACACACTTGAGCTCCTTAAAATCACAATCTTAGTGGCTGATTTTCGATGAGGCACATAACTGCCACAACATTTTCCACTCAACGAAAGCAATGACAGATTTATTTTTCAATGTTTCTCTTGTTAATTGTAGGAGAATCGAAGCCAAAAAATAGTACAGAATTGTACAATTATCGTAGTTATTAAATCATTCATTTGAATAGCACAGTGCAGCCGCCTACTACTCAATACATTTGTTTCATGTGTTACGTCATAATTCTACCAAAATCCAAACCATTTCACCTAGTTTTTAAATATGAACAGTTTTACTGGCGGAACCTCAGATGATTTCAACGGTACAAATTATACAGCATTAAGATAAAGATGTACCCTAAGTGAATACAGTCATCTGATGACAAAACTCTAGAGAAGATAGCTACACAATTACCATGTTGTACGGTGTAACTCAATGTAGTTTATCTAAGAAGTCATTAAGCAGACAGACAGTTCTACTACTGCATAAAAATCTATCATATTTGTACTAGATTCGTACCTGTAACTGTACTCTAATACAATGACTAAGTTCAAAGGTAAACAAAATGGGATAATGCAATAAAAGTCAATGAGATTATATAATACTTTATATATATCTTCATTGAGAATTAGAAGTAGAGTCTGTGGTAAAACCGTTGGAACAAATCATAAGAATTAGGAAGTACCGAGACAAGTTAATACATACTCGCACTGTATAACTAGACACCTAATAACTGCAGTTTAGTTTGCATTGATGAGTCTCACAGAGAACCATCAATAGTGATTCGCAAAGCTTCTATTTAGAATAATATACGACTTCAATCTTGAGTACGCTAAACTAAATTATTCTACATTCACCGAAAAATTTCTTGCACACTTCCTATGCTGCTTGCAATTATGGAAATCTGAGTCTGTGAACCAATATCACAAAGATTACCCTTCTTTAAACGTTCATTGTCTTTAAATAAAAACGATAGCACAACTAGCTGTTCGGTCAAACGTTGGAGAGTTTCGAAAATAAGCTTTCTTGTTTGAGACTCACTGTGACTGAGTAACTATGAATTTTGACCGTATCCATTCACACGCTTTGCGAACAGCTTACAACATATCGTGATGGTAAACATTAGAAAATTCAAACGTAAACACTAAAGTTCACGATATGTTTTCCTCCTAGTCTATCTTTTGGAGAAACAATAGGGGGTTAGACTAGGATTCGTGCAACCAATATATAGTGAATAAGAAATAGATGTAGTTAAAACTGGGCTTGTATTAAATCTCTTTATTCTATTTAAGAAAAGTGTAAACAACCATATGGCTCTAACACATGTGTCGTTAATTGACTTATAGTAAGCATCTATGATAACCACTAACCACTCACAATTTCAGTATTAATTAATTTATTAATCATAAGAAATATGGCACTTTTAACTAGAAATCACTGAGAGATAACAGCGTATTATTTGATATTTTTGTATAGTGGACACCAGTGGGATCCAAGATGCATGATTAATTCTATTCGGAACTCGGACCCAGAACAAATGGAAGAAAAATATATAATAAACTTGTAACTACAGGCATCCGCTCAAGGAATTCACCTTCTAATAGAGACTGAATAAGCTATGTTTTGAATATCGAACAACGGAAAAACACAAATTCTCACTAGTTGCAATAAATGTATGCTTTTATTCAATTGTTTAGAGGTAACATTAAAGTGAAGCAAAATGTTTATGTTACAACTGATTCTTGGTGGACAAAAGGAATAGGTAGATTTGGCTTTGTATCAAAGAACATTTTAGTAAGGCCGAATCAAATAGAAAAGTAAGAGAAAGAAAGAAAATATACAATAACTATTGAGTATACAATCTACCGATAATAAGGCGGTTTGGCAACATGAATACCCCTATCATTCAATGAAGCAATCAAATCTTCCAGTGTAAGAGTGGCGCGACGATCTATGGGAAATTTATTGGTTCCAGGTTTTCCACCTAGAAAACAACATATTATAGAGATCATAAGAATATGATTATAAGCATTACAAGCATTTGAAATATTGATTGTATTAAGTATAAATGAACAAGCCTACGTCGTCTGACGAAATAAATTTCTATTTGAATTATACAGATGAATATGAATAAGGTCAACAGTATCAATTAACATTTAAAATGTTTTTGTAGCAGTAATTAAAGGTAATAGAGGTGTATAAATCAATAAGTTTATATAATCAGTGTTTATGGATAATAATGAAGGCCAAGGTAAAAATCAGATGTACTTCATACGTACGCATAGTTCTGGTTTCAGCTTCTTTTAATATAAAACCAGAATATAAAATTCTCATTATTGTATTCATGAACAGGATAATATTCCTATTTCTTTTTACACCTATATGACCTTTAATCACATTAATCATTGTAATCACCTGAATATATTCACTAATAAATAAAACCCTATATTCATTCACCTAACAACAATATGAGTTTTCACGAGATTGAAATATTCGAATATCATTAAACAACCGGCCATTTTTGTGATTTTTTTTCACCTCTTTAAAAAAGTTTTTCCATCCCATTTTCCAAATTTTTTCATTCCGTTTCGTCCAATTAAATGGCTAGTTTTAAATCCGTTATAGTTGGTCATTTAGTCTTAAAATTGTTATAAAATGTCAGTACTTGTCGACAGAGTACATTTTAATCAGAATTATGAAGTAGAGTAACGTACAATGTACAAGCTCTGCCGTTTCTCACATTGTCACAGAAACGGAGAACGTATTATTGAATACATTGTATCTCGTAGCGTTCCAATCAGTTGAAACGTTAAGGTGCGCCATCAGAACTTATGAAAGATCTAAATACTGCCATTATGTGGTGAGAGATTCTCATTTCCACAGCGATCGGAAATCGTATATTAAATTTGTATGTTGGAGAAGTGGTCGTAGAACACCTAGCGGCTCCTTACAGCCGATTAGACGGAGGTAATTTGATTAGTGTTATTATATTTTTTCACGAAGGACTTCCATGAACACCCAATGTCCGGCCTTCATCTTTTGTAAGTTTATAGAAGGTTACTGGACTGTTGTTCGTGGGAATGTGCATCACAATCACGAGTGCAATTCCCTGAAGTACGACAGTAATTCTTTGGTGCGCAGGTTAACGGAGGCTGAGTTCGAAACAGAGCGCACTTTAACGCTTCAACTGATTGGAACGCTACGAGATACAATGTATTCAAAAATACGTTCTCCGTTTCTGTGACAATGTGAGAAACGGCAGAGCTTGTACATTGTATGTTACTCTACTTCATAATTCTGATTAAAATGTACTCTGTCGACAAGTACTGACATTTTATAACAATTTTAAGACTAAATGACCAACTATAACGGATTTAAAACTAGCCATTTAATTGGACGAAACGGAATGAAAAAATTTGGAAAATGGGATGGAAAAACTTTTTTAAAGAGGTGAAAAAAAATCACAAAAATGGCCGGTTGTTTAATGATATTCGGCAACACGAATCCCGAATTTGTCAACGGGATATTCTTTAATACTTGCGATAAATTACATACAGACACGAAATTCACAACTGTTTTTTTATCATTTACCACGCCTCCTTAAATTCAAGAAATACAGCCATTATTACATGTCGAAAGGCATGTTTATGTTCCAGAATCTGCTGAAGAGTGAATAGTTGGTCTGTGCATTTATACATACACGTCCATGTCTGAAACCAGTCTGTTTTCTCTCGAGTTTACTCTTCATGTGTTCTAGTTAGACGTTGAATCACTATTCGGGCTAATATTCTGGGCACTGTATTAATGAAATTAATTGATTCCTCTGTAACTGTCACAGTGGGATTTTTGTCCTCTCTTGTAAACTGAGACGATCGGCGACCGAGACCAATCAGGTGGGATTACGTTCAGTTCCCAGATTTTAGCTAAGATTTCAGTTAATCTAACTGCTAAAACTGGAACACAATCCTTAAAATTCTTAGGGGTTAGTCCACCAAACCCTGCTGCTTTCCGTCGCTTTAGATTACTTATAGCCTTTTCAACCTCACTAAGAGTTGGAGGTCTTACATGAATTCACCATTCAGATTACTTGGAGATAATTAGTAACTGAAGTGTAGCTGGAAGGCCAATGGAACTATTCCCTAGAATGTTTCGTCCATCTATCCAATTTCTTGGATTGAAAGTGAACAATAGTCCCGTCTTCTTCCGATATAGTTGCACGAACAGCAGTATTTCTAATACTCATTTCCTTGTTAGGTCTGGACAGTTGTTTACTGTTACCTATCGCTGCTGCCTTTTCCATCGCTTCTGCTTTCGCTACACACCACTGCTCATGATCATTACGTAGGCTACGTTTAAGCTGCATCCGCTCCTCTTCGTGTTCTGATGAAGATGGAACTAGTTTCCGAGCATCTATCAGTCGTGTAGACGCCGCTAAAATCCAGATTCTCCCTAACTTTTGGTTTAAGTTACTAGTAGATGTCACTGTTGTTTCCACAGCTTTTTGGATATTATACTTAAGCTACCTTAGGGTCGGTATAATTTTCATATTTGACTAGTACCTTTTCTATTTGTTCCAGAAGTATATTCTTAACTTTATCATTAAGTTGGACTCTAGGGAGTTTTCTTGATGTGGCTTTTCCACGTCCAATGAGACGCAGACAAACACGTGCTTGAACTAGAACATGATCCGAATCTAAACATGTGCTCCAGAATGAACGACAGTCTTTAATCAAGCCTCTCCAACAATGACTGATGGCAATGTAGTCTATTTGAGTCCATCATTGAGTCAGTCATGGAGGTCACCATGTCCGAAGACATTTTTCTTTATGATTAAAGTTGACGCTTACTAGAAATAAACGGTTATTTGAGCACAGATGCAACGGACGGTCGCCATTATCTGTTCACTGAGCTGTAACACTGTAAGATCTGCCTAAATGCCTTTCGGTTTGGTTTAGTTTACTTATTTGAGTAATGAAATCACCTGCCAGTCAGTTAGTAACAACGTGGAACTTCGTACGTACATAAATCAGTTCGAGTTGCCATACCACATTAGCACAGAGATTCAGTTATCGACTCAAATCCCGTAGTGGTAGAGGTAGTGAAAGTATAAGTAGTGATAGGAAATATTAGGGTTTGATGATGTTATTTAAGGAGTATAATCCAGTGGAATAAATTTGGAAAGAAAAGAAACGAGACATGAAGAATTCAGAAGATTAGAGTTTTAAAGAACACAAAGAGTGGATGCATCTGCGCCATGGTAAACGATTTTGAGCCATTCTAAGCAAAGATGGATAGTGGCTAGCAGTGGAATCCAGGACGCGCGTTTCGTCCTATTTGGGCCTCGTCAGCTGGATGTACCTGCATCTCAGAGTTGATGTTCACTCCGAGACTCGAACCCAGTACCGTCCGCTTCAAACGCCGTCGCATTATCCACTTAGCTACTGAGTCCTGATAGCCACTTGCTTGTGAAATCGGGTGAAGTTTCATTCACTTGATATTGTTGTTTTATTTGAATCTTCCCATTGATGTTTAGGACTGAAATTGTTCAGTCTCTTATTGGCATATGTGCATACTGTGCATATCCCTCGATATTGCCTTAATTTACAAGCATTCTAAGTGGATAACGAGATGACGTTTGAAGCGGACGGTGCTGGGTTCGAGTCCCGGAGTGAACATCAACTCTGAGATGCAGGTACATCCAGCTGACGAGGCCCAAATAGGACGAAACGCGCGTCCTGGATTCCACTGCTAGCCACTATCATCCACCTTTGCTTATAACGCTTGTAAATTAAGGCAATATCGAGGCATACGCACAGTATGCACATATGCCAATAAGAGACTGAACAATTTCAGTCCTAAACATCAATGGGAAGATTCAAATAAAACAACAATATCAAGTGATTTTCAGCCATGTCATTCAAGATCTCTAACCATCGGTTGCTATCGTCTCACGGTCCCCAACCAGGTAGTCTACACCTACCAACATGGCTCAGCCCACTTGTCAGTGACTTCATGGATTTGTGCCATGTTTTGGTCTGGCCGCCCCTAGCTTTTTTCCAACTTACTCCTACACCATAAAACATCGCATGTCGGGGCAGTCGGTGGTCGGGCATACGTAACACATGTCCCAGCCATCTCAACTGATTAAGTTTCACTACTTCATCAATTGATTTGCTATCCTTACCTAGTACCCGTTTCCTAACAACTTCATTACTTACTCGGTGGTTCCAAGATATACAAGCAATGTTTCGAAGACATCTATGGTCGAATACTAGTAATCTACGAATCACATGCCACCATTACTACATCAGAGCGCTTAGCTTTTTGAAGGTTGGAAAGCTTCCTATTAGAATAATTGTTAACTTTATCCGAGCTTAAATCAGTGGGAGCGTAGGCAGAGATAACAATAATGCAGTGTCGTGCGTCCCTGTCTTTCTGAGTTCTTACTGTTCCGTTTAGTTGGACAACGCTTAAGTGACTGACTTTTGGAATCTAGTATAAGAGAACCTGTTCTGCCTTTGAAATTAATTCTAAACCTATACCAACGATACCACGGGAAGTAGCAGTTGAGTCTCCAGACACCTGAAGAGTATATCATACCGTTTCTTTATGTTAAAAATTTGAGGTCAAATGAATGTCTGTACATGGATCTTATATAAGCGTTTCGAAGACACAACATACAACGATGACACGATATTCCATAATTATAACTAAAGCCTATTATCCCATCTGACACAATGTTTGAACATGAAAAGCTCCAACCTAGTTTTAGAGAGTGGTTTCGAGATACCAGGAAAATCATTTCATGAAGTCAAATCATCAGCATTGATGGTGCGTGGTGACTAAGATGTACAGTCAGGGAAAGTCGAGGGAATGTGAGAGTTATTAAATGGTGAGGGAGGTATTTAGTTGTTAAAAAAATGATCTCGGATGCTGAGAGAGGTATGAGGACGGTTGTCGATTCCCGGATACCCGAATCGTGGAAGGATATTCCTGAAAAGGAAGTGAGGTTATTGGTGGTCTTAGTGACGTATGAACGTGTCCACAGAGCAAACGGAACAACTGTTGAAGGCTGGTCACGTATGAACTTTTTATGCGAATTTTTTGAAGTATTAGCTCCGCACCACAAAAGGCCTTACCGCTGGAAATAGAAATCCGTGGAAAGAGAGTAAAGCAAGACATTTTTAAGGTCAACTCTTTCTAACGCCTTCTTTCCGTTATGAAAACACCATAGTTGCTGATGCTTGTTGTCCGAAGGAAACACCGTACTGCTCTCAAACTTCTCTACAGTCAGCAGTACGACTTCGCCCGCGGATCTTACATTGCTGCTTTTAGTCTTATCGTTCTCCACCTGACCTGTCTGGTATGGTAAGACCTAAAGGTACGTATATTCCGGCCAGTATAGCTGGGTTGAGTCGTCACGATAAGCAAGTTCGACCACCACATCAATGTAGTAGCTAAGGTTGTGAGGGACCAACAGAAGCCAGTCTAGTACAGCTTTCTTACATACCACGACACCATGTCATAAACTGATCACTTCTCCGATTTTTCCAAACAATCGTAACGTGAGCAAACAATGCGCGGCGTGGAATTCTCTGGGACGACATTCGTAAGACATGTCCAAGCCACCGAAGTCAATGTTTCAAGATAGTGACACCAATTGAATTATCGTCTCTGCGACCAAACACACGATGCCGAACCTCTGAATTACTATTATGTTGTTGCTACTGCATGCCAGCAATCCTTCAGAGAGAACGATAATCAAACACAGAGAGTCATCTAACATCCTCAGTTTGGAGAGGTCAAGTCTCATAAGCACAGAGCCAAACAGCGCTCACCGATGCGTTGTAGATCCGACTCTCATGAACAGACTGACATCACGAAGGCTCCAAAGATGGCTCAGATTGGCATAAGCCGCTCTGGCTTTCACCATACGTGGATTGATCTCATTACTCACACAACCACCAGCACATACGCAGCGAACCAGATACATGAACTTCTCGACTATTATCTACCCACCATACAGAGTGAGTTCAGGTTTAGGTTCCTGCCAGTTTTGTACAAGTACTTTGCACTTAAAGATGCAAAACACAAGCCATACATACGGACAATGACTGCCGACTGATTAGGTACGGATTCATCGCACAGTAAGACATCATCCACATACTCAAGGTCGAAAAGTATTTCTCCAAGCAACGGAGCCAAAAAAAACCATTACCTACATCCATCAGAGCTTTTTCCAGAACATCATCGATAGCAAATTTGAAGAGGGACGGTAAGATTAGGCAACACTGCCTTGAATGAAACAATGGGGAGAGGTAGCTGTACGCCCTCACTCTGTCTGAGGTATGTGTATATAGGGCTTTCAAGATGTTAGTAAACTTCTCAAGCACACTTTTTCAATAAACAATCCCAGAGAAGAGTTCTGCACAAAGAATCGAACTATCGACTCATTCCAGGGTGATCGAACACTCTCTAATTTCAAAAATTTTTCAAACACAGTCAGTTCCTTAACCAGGTCGCCAGTATCTATAGAAGGAGCCGGATGTGAGTTATCTGGGCCTCGTGATTTGTGGAGCTTCAGCCAACAAGTCTCCATTGGCCACCTAAACAATTCTCTTCTGTGCCTAGACGTCTGACCTGAGCGTTCACGTCTCTGGCTAGTCCTACAACATCAGTCAGACGCACTTTCTGTAGAACACTTAACTAGTGGCAAAATTCATTATTGATCGCATCCAGGTTGCAATCTGTCGGAGATTAAGCGGAGATGACGTCAAAACATCGTTCCTCACACCGATTTCTCACTTTGATGGGGCTTTTTATATCTGTCCTACCGGATAATTGCTGCCAACGTGCATCTGTGAAATAGCTTTTCAATGACGACACCTATTGTCCACGAAACTAGATTTATGTAATTGGGTGATGCCTTTCTGTAGGTGATCTGGTACCAAAACCAATATAGGCTTACAATTTTGTGGTTGGAATATCGATCTCTTACATGAATAGCTTTCATGAAATGATGTAAGCAACTTCAAGTGAAACACTACTTGGAGCGAAAGACAGGAAACTCAATAGCAATATTTCACTAGAATTTTCAATGTTTCCTAAATACACCATATGTTTAGACCACCGTGAACGTAAAACTGGTTTGCTGAATGACATTTCTGTCATAATATTGGAATCTTTTTAAGTTTTTATACTACCATCATTAACAGGAGAGACGTGGAACTTCATGGACGGGAAACAAGTAAATAGATGTCTCAAAGAGATCGTACATGACAATGAAGTGGCATTTTAACATGTTGGCCGAGAGTTAAATACAATAAAAAACTAAAGCATTAAACTAAAAAATGAGTAGCATGCCACGGTGTTATTTTCAGAGACTACCATGAACTTCCACTCTGCATAGAACGTCGACATAAATGGCGCGAATTTAAAATAAAATTCAGTATTACTCAGGTTTTACTTTAAAAAGCAAACAGATTGGTTTGTATATTATAATACAAGAGGACAACAAATATCGCTATCAATACATTCTTCTTCAACGAGAACCTTGTTTTAGATTAAGTTATATGAATAGATAATCGAAACCATTTTTTTATACTTGATGTATGCTACTTATGCCTGTCAATATAAATAGTATGTAACACAGTCAGTCAGTCAGCTGCAACGTAGGACCAGGCACATATATGCATCGATCCAAGTTGCCATACTGCATTAGCACAACAAGATGAACACCGAATTCATAGAAGTAGTCACATCAAAGGTACTAGTATATAAAAGAAAGATTGCATATAAGGAGATAGTACAGGAAGAAAGAATTAGTATGTAGAAAGAAAGATATCAAATAATTTTAGTCTCATGGTGTATACACTTAAGTATGTAACACAGGTCGAAAGTGGAAAACCTGGCAGCAGAAATCTAAGATCAAGTTGAAGAGAACAGAAACCGAAATAGAAAAGAATTATGCATTGGAGGAATCATACATAATGTGAACGATAAATGGTGGAAATTTGCAAACGAAGTATTTAATGTATGGTTTTCACAATTATTAAATTACTATATATCTACAAAACCCCTCTCTGATTACCAAAGAAGTCTGTTATTTTGTGGTAAACAAATTGGTCGTCCCCACCTGTGTTTTCGTTCATTACTCTAACGTAACGGAAAAACCAGTGCATCTTCAAACTAAGATGATAGGCAAGAATTAAGCCTAAGAGTTAGATCATAATCCATTGATGGCTGAGGGACTTAGAAAACACATATCCTCTAATTCCATGTGATATACCATTCGACTACATTGGATCACCTATCGATTAGTATTCTGTTTACTTATTTTAGAAATCCAAAAGTGTACGTTACTTATCAAACACTCAAAGTCAACTTATATAACAGAAGACAAACGATAATCGACTAAGATATAAATTGAATTGGATAAGTGGACAGCACTATTCAATCACCTGAAGCAACCATAGGTTACTTGTCTACTTATCTTGTATAGATCTACAATTCCCAACGCTCTTTCGTGTTTTTAGTCTATAAGAAAGATATTTTTGTGAATGTAACAGTTATAACGAATCAATGGGATTGAGCTACACTTACTAGATGATGGAGATTGTGGAATAGACTGACTTGGGTTGCTCGTTGTTGTAGTAGGATTTATAGAAGACAGATTAGATGCTTGACCTGGTATAGATGTGGACACACTAGGATGGTTAAGCAGCCCAGTAGGTTGTCCATTTGCAAGACGCCAATGAAGCATAGCGTCAGAAAGGATATCAGTCAGAAATTTTTGACCAGCTAGACTGATTAAACGGGCAAGTCGGGGATCGCTGTTCTCCATTTGCACACCAGCACTCTCTAACATAGCAACCGATAATCTGTCCGGAATCTAGAAATCGATCGGGAATAAAAAAATGGTATATATTATAGAATGTAAGGAACCATAACCAGAATTATTCAGACACAGTTGAAGAAATAAGGTCAATCAAGCTTATGAGCTTTAATGACATTACAACTGATGTAACTGACCATTAACGATAGTACAGGGTATTAGTTTTACCTAAAATGTTTTAACAGAACTCAGTCATATCTGTTAGGTACAATAGAGTTCTAAATAACCATTTACTTGACATCATTAGTGTGATGAAATTGTACATCTTCATTCATAAAAACACAAGTCAAGTTTTATCAGTCATTATTTATTAATCGTATCATGTGATTTGCATATAAATACTAACATTAACGGAAGCAACCTATGACTTATTTTCACTTAGAGTGCAGTTTTCAAACTGGAAAGTGAAAGTTGTATGTGTCATCATTAATTTTATGTCTAATAATATCTGCTAAGCGTTTAGTCAATAAACTAAATCAAAGCACGAAAACACACTTTCAAATTGAGGTATTTTTGACAATAGTAGTCTGATATATGGCGAGAATATTACATTATGACTGTATGATGAAGACAGGACCAAGAGAATAGTTCATATATAACATTAATTTACATAAGAACGATACTTAACCCAGATATGTCTGCAGCCGACAAGAAAAACATTTATAAACTATAATCATTGTTCTGAAAAGTTATTATAACGACCATGTATAGAGATCAACTCAGTTTCGTTTATCAGTCAGTCAGCTGCAACGTAGGACCAGGCACATATATGCATCGATCCAAGTTGCCATACTGCATTAGCACAACAAGATGAACACCGAATTCATAGAAGTAGTCACATCAAAGGTACTAGTATATAAAAGAAAGATTGCATATAAGGAGATAGTACAGGAAGAAAGAATTAGTATGTAGAAAGAAAGATATCAAATAATTTTAGTCTCATAGTTTGAGGGAAGACAGAGTGTATATATCTATGCCATTGTGATCGATTCTCAACCATGGCACCCAGTGTCTCGAATCATTGGTTACGATAGTCACGCGGACCCCAACCAGGTAGTCTGCATCTACCAACATGGCTCAGACCAGAAGTTAGTGACTTCAAGCACTGATGCCACGTTTCGGTTTGGCCGCCCCTAACTTTCTTCCAATTATCCGTAACACCGGTTAGCATTGCGCGTCGTGGTAATCGGTGTTCAGGCATACGCAACACGTGGCTCAACCATTTCAGTCGATGAAGATTCATAACCTTATCAACTGATTTACCATCATTCCCTAATACCCTAAGTCTAACCTCAGCACTACTTACCCGGTGATCCCAGCAGATACCAGCAATATTTCTAAGGCACCTGTGGTCAAATATCACCAGATACCAACTCATTAGGGCTGATCAGACTTCCAAGATAAGTGAAGTTGTCGATGCGTTCGACTGCGTTACTCACTATCCTTAGTTCAAGTGTTGACGCAGACCAGTCCTGAAGCAACAATTTACATTTAGAGGGGGAGAAACACATCCCAAATATCCTGGCATTGTTGCTCAGTGCAACCAGTAGAATCTGCATTTAATCAGCGTCTTCGACAGACAGGACTATGTCATCTGTGTATTCTAAGTCGATAAGTGGACATTCTGGAAAGCGATTAATTCATGAAAATTCGGTCGACGAGAACGATATTTCCATCAGCATGTCTATGATGAAGTTGAACAAAAATGGAGAAAGTGGACAGCCTTGGCGGAAGCCACTTGAGGTTGCAAAAGCAGATGACAGTTCGCCATAAGCTCTGACTCGACTAGTAGTGTTCGAGTAAAGAGCCTTCACAAGGTTTATGTACTTCTGAGGTACGCCTTTCAATGACAGACACTGCCACAGAACCTCTCGGTCAACAGAGTCAAATGCTGCTTTTAAGTCAAGAAAGACCACCATTGTCGGACGCCGATAAGTATGCCTGTGTTCTAGAACCTGACGAATGGTAAATATGTGGTCTATTCATCCACGACCAGGTCTGAAGCCAGCCTGATTTTCACCTCTGGAACCAATCCATCTGGACCAGCTGCCCTTCTTCATTTTAGATTAACTATAGCCTTTTGAACTTCAGCTAGAGTTGGAGGACCTACTTCAATGTTCCACTCACACTCTGGGAATGGTGGGTAGTTGTACAGTACCTGAAGGCCATCTGAACTGCTCCTTAAAGTGTTCCGTCCATCGTTCTAAACGTCTGGACTGGGAGCAGATAAGAACGTCACCTTTTTCCGAAATAGTCTCACTTACACCTGACTTTTAGTTCCAGTTTCTTTTATGAGTCTGAAGAGCTGTCTGGTGTTACCTACAGCCGCCCCCTTTTCCATCTCTTTTGCTTTCGTTTCCCACCACTGCTCGCGATCATACCTTAGACTTTTAGTCAACCTAGATCTGATTTGCTTTCGCTCATCATCGTGTTCAGAACCTGATGAGATGAGTTAACGCGAATCCATCAGTGCAATAGACCTTGAAGAAATCCATTGGTTCTTTGTGACCCCTTGGTTTAAATCACTATAATAGATGTCACAGCTGATTGTATATCTTGCCAAGCAACATCTGGGTCAGCCTCGTTTTCAGAACTACCTAAGTGTTACCTCAGTTGTTCTTGGAACCTACTTTTGGTTTTCTCGTTATTCAGTTCAGTTCTAATGGGTCTTTTTAATGTGGCTATTTTGCGTCCAGTGAGGCGCAAGATGTGTGCTCGTATTAGAGCATGATCGGAGTCTAAACATGTATTCCAGAACGAACGGTAGCCCTCTATCGACCCTCTCCAACAATGACTGGTGGCGATATGGTCTATTTGAGCCAATCGTTGATTTTGTGCAGGGGGTCGCCATGTTAGACGATGTCTCTCCTTATGCTTAAAATTTGTGTTTGCTAAAAATAAACGATTGTCTGAGCACAGTTGCAGCAGACGATCATCATTATCTGTTTGTTGTGCCAGAATACTAAAATACCCACCTAAATGTCTTTCTTTTTCGTTTAAGCTACCTACCTGGGCATTAAAGTCACCTGCTACAAGTACTATGTCTGAACGTTTAGATTTCTGAAAAAGTTCTGGGTTTTCTGTAAAATTCATCTTTAACTTCATTCGAGCTGCAGTCAGTGGGAGCGTAGGCAGAAACGACGAAAAGGCAACGACGTGTGTCCCTATCCTTTCGAGTTCTTACGGAACCGTTTAGCCGAACAGGGCATAGACGACTGTTAACGGGGATCCACTCTAATAGCGTTTGTTCCGCCCTCATGCTTAGTGCTATGCCTACACCTAACAGTCCACGAGAACTAGCCATCGGTTCGCAAGATACACGAAGGGTGTATCTCGTCGTCGCTTCGTTTTGCCGAGGTGAGGTCAAGTGAATGACCACGCTAGGATCCTGTATGCGTGTTTCAGAGACACAGCATACATTAATGGTACGAGATTCTAGGGTTTTAGTTAAAGAGGCCTCTGCTGACCGATTTGACATAGTGTGCATATGTTGAAGGCTCCAATGTGTAGTTTGGAGCGAGGTTTCAGTAGACCTGGGACAGTGTTTTGCGCACTAAAATTGTTGGCTATGGTGACACTTGAGGAGGAAGCTAAAAGAGGAAGTTTAGTGTATAAAGTCGATGTAGGAGGAATAATAGGAATTGAAGAGGGAGGTTGATTACGAATACAGTGGTCTTGAGTGCTGTTAGAGGTATGAGGGCGGTTATCACTTCCCAGTTGCCCACACCGTGGAAGGGTTCTGCTGGAGGTACCTGAAAAGGAAATTGGATTAAAGGTGGTCTTAGTGACCCGAGAGCGTGACCGCAGTGCCCAAGGGACAGCTGCTTGAGGTCGGTCACACACGACCTTTTTATGAGTGATTTTTGTGTTAGCTCCGTACTTGTTGAGACCTTACCGCCGGAGACGGATATCCATGGGATAAGGCGAGGTGTGCATTTTTAGGGTCGACCTTTTCGAACACCTCCCCTCCTTTTGGGAAGGCAGCATCGTTGTTATGCTGGTTGTCTGAAGGAAACACCTTACTGCTGTCACACCTCTGTACAGTCAGCAATACGACTTCGCCTTCGGACCTTGGATTTGTTACTTTTAGTCTTACAGCTCTTCAACCGACCTGTCTGGCATGGTAGGACCTTGAGGAACGGTTGTTCCAGCCAGTCCAGCTCAGTTGTTTCATCACGATGGGCAAGCCCGACCACCACATCAAGGTAGCAACAACGGTCGGGCATTTTTGTTTATAAAGAAAGCTTAAATTCGTTAAGGAAATTTCCCAGATCTATGCGTACAAAATTGATATACTTTGATCGAGACACATTGTTAATAAAAAAACACTTACTGTAGATTGAATGTGGTCAAGCTGAGTCCATAAATTGCTAAGAAGCACACCACTAGTATTCTCAGAACCTGAAGATACAGGAACCGACGATGTCGTTAGACTAGGCGTCTGACAGCTATCCCCAACAGATGTTATAGGAGTTTTTGGAGTCACAGTTCCAATAATCATCAAGATTTTCACCGGAATATGATAGTCACAGTCAGAAAGGAATCTGAAAAACATAACCAAACCGCCAAGAATTAAGCACGAATTATGTACTGGAGAAAAACATTTTTTTAAAATTAGTATTCTAACTTAACTTCACTGAACAAGGAAATCAAATAATAATTCTACAAGGATATTTCAATAAAGAGCATAAATGATAGATCGTATGGTTAAAATAGTACTGCACACTGCAATTATATAAATATCCAGCAGCATACATACATGCTGTTCTGGCTTTATAAATTTGTATTTCAAAGGTTGTGAATTATTTCATTTATACATTCACATTTATTTTATAAAGACGAAAAACGATAGTGTGGAACCGGGAGAGAAACTGCTATCCACCAGGCTACAGCACTTCGCAAGAGCAAAAATAGAAAACGGGCCAAATAAACTAGAATAACTCAGATATGAATAGGTAGATGGCATATTAAAAATACAGAAAGCGTCGGTGTCGTAGTAACCAAAGTTAGGCAGTATTACCTCGGGATTATAACATATATTTCTTATTTTCATCATGATTTTAGTGCGTGGGCTCACTCACTCTGGACGGTGAGCAGATAGAACTCGTCGAGAAGTTCGTATATCTGGTTAGCTGCATAAGTGCTGGTGGTGGCGTGAGTGATGAGATCAATGCACGTATAGTGAAAGCCAGAGCGGCTTATGCCAATCTGGGCCATCTTTGGCGCCTTCGTGATGTTAGTCTGGCTGTAAAAGGTCGGATCTACAACGTGTCGGTGAGAGCAGTTTTGCTCTATGCTTGTGAAACCTGGCCTCTCCGAGTTGAGGATGTTAGACGACTCTCTGTGTTCGATCATCGTTGTCTCCGAAGGATTGCTGACATCCAGTGGCAACACCATGTTAGTAATGCAGAGGTTCGGCATCGTGTGTTCGGTCACAGAGACGATAATGAAATTGGTGTCACCATCTTGAAACACCGACTTCGGTGACTTGGACATGTTCTACGAATGTCGTCCCAGAGAATTCCTCGTCGTGCATTATTTGCCGACTCTGGGACTGGTTGCAAAAAGCGGAGGTGGTCAGTATATGACATGGTGTCGTGGTATGAAAGAAAGCTGCAAAGGGCTGGTTTGTGTTGGTCCTTCACGACTCCCTGGCTGGGGTCCGAGAGATGGTGTAACACAGTGGCTAGAGACGTTATCAGATATGGCTCAGAATAGAAGCTAATGGCGATCCTGCTGTAACCTTCTTTTACCTTCATAAAAAGTGGTTGTATCTTCCTTAACTGAAAGATTTCTTCTGATTGTACCTTTCCGTTTTCCCCATCATTGTTCTCTTCCTCTTTTTTTTATAATTCCCCACGTTCATTACTTTTTTTTATATACATTTTTTTTCTCCTCTTCAAATTATCATTGTTTTGTGTGGCGTATATATATTTGGTGCCCCCTGTACCAATATTTATGTGTTCAAATAAATAAATAAATAAATAATATATTTCTTACATAACATGAGCATCAAAAAGATATATATATATATATATATATATATATATATATATATATCAAACTAGCAGCAATTAAGTACATGAATCGGTTTCACATTTCCACTTGACCAATTGAATAAGCTACTCTAATTTATCCCCATTATATGTTTAAAAGGTGGCAGTAACTGATTGGGAAATACATGTAATAATTCCAGAATATTTGACTTAATGCTTAACATGCTTAAAATGAAAATTTACATGAACATTATTTACACGTCAAGTAAAGTGGGATTATAGTAATGAAGAATGACTCAGTATACAAATATTTTAACAAGTCTCATTAAAATACATGGTAATAACCGTTGGTTAATTGCCTAACTTGTGGGTAGTGTAAGTATTTTGTACTTAGGGATAGAAAAACAATCAACATTGCAGGAATGTTGATATTGGTATCATCTTTGGTTTAAGTTAGAAAGTCGGTTAACATTTATGTGAGTATGCTGTCCGTATGAGTTGATTACCAATTGCATTTGCATCAGCAGGTTAACTGCAGGAACAAAGGTATAACCACGGGGAGAAAGAATTCCTACTAGTGTTTCAGTTAAAGTTAAATATGATTTATTTAGCTGCAGGGAGGATCTTTAAATAACTGTTAAATTCAAATGGCGTAGAGATGATGTAATGCAACGAATGTACAAGCCGGGTCATTACATACATTGATGAAGAATATAACTAAAAAAGAAACTTAACAGAAAAATTGGGACACGACTTATGGAACATGAAGGGTATAATATAAAATTCCCACAAGCGGTTGCCGTAGTTAGTCTAGCAACATTTATAAATATGTATTAATGGTAATCAGAACTAGGAAGTACAAAATTTATGTTCGACTTAGTATGGTCTTCCTGACAACCATAATTTCCTGTTATAAATGAGATGAAGGGACAAAAGGTACGAAACAACATTGAAACTCTACGCCATTGTTTAATGAAATATTTTCGTCAGCTTTTTAAACCAATGAGCACGATTACCATGCGGGCTCCAACCAGATAATCTGCACCTATTAGTCATCAATGACCTAACGGATTGATGCTATATCTTGCTTTGAACACCCACAGCTTTCTGTTGACCTACTTCCAACGCAGTTAATATTGTGCACAGATGTAGGATGTTAATTGGACACATACAACAATTGTCCCAGTCCCTTTAATCAATGATTCAGAAGACTGGCTTGCGATCGAAACTTATCAAAACTGAAAAGGAGTATAAGAATTAACTACATAGCTTATTATGTTTGCCGATAAGTGATGGGGTGATTTAGTGGGTAAATGAATCAACTTGTGAGTAACAGGTTTGAGCCATGCTACTTCCATCTGTAAAGTTGAATAGTATTACAAAAGTGACCTGAAGTTTATATGGACTAGCAGTTAGACACCCAGTTTTATGAAATTTTACCATTGAGTAAAGGTATGGTTTTGGAGAAGGTAGTAGAATAAGATTCGATCGACACACCTCATTATTGACTTAACTCGCTTGTCACATCAAAAACATAGGTAGGACACATAAACAGATCACAAAAAAAGAACAAGCAAACAATATCATTAGAACAGTTAGAACACAAGATTCTTTGGAAATTATATTACAGTAAGGTGTAGACCGTAAGAAATGAAACAATGCAAATTATTGTACGTCCTCGGAAGATAAATGTATTATTTTAGTTCTATCCCAGGATTGGTCTTCCGTCAAAAAGCGTTCCTGAAAGTGATTACCACATGATGCTTCTGCCCAACTAAATAATTTTTGCAATAGACCGCGTGCAAGAAGACCACGTAGCCAAGGGGTGATGGATGACCTGCAGAAATCGGAGTCTGAAGTTTTTGATGTGTTCATGTGATCTCTCGGGGAACATTTCATATAGTTGAAATCACTAAAACTCATCCAACGAACGTCACTGACTTCATCAAGATTTAGTTTCATTAAGTCTGTATCCGGAAGATTTCGAGCTAGGCAAAGTAATAAAAGAAGGACATATTTGCGTATAAATGGAAAGGTCGTATGAGATATATGAAAGTACGTTTTTACGAAATCGGTTATATATATATATATATATATATATATATATATATATATATATATATATATATATATATAAAATTTCTGGAAGCCAACTTACACAGTTAAATGAAATGTTTTCTACTTTTTAGAAAGTTATATTATTTCAAGGACGTTTTTTCCTATCCATGTTGGAAAACCCAGTAGATAATGTGATTATGTAACTTGTCGCATATAACTGAGTAATAAATTGTTTTATCCAGAAGCAAGAAACTGAGAAATGAAGGTACTAATTTTATTTTCCTAGTCGAGAGAAACGTGAAATAAGGTAGGACAACTCAACCATGCCCTTTAATAAACATAGAGAAATCAATTCAACTAATATAATGTCAGAAATATTAACCTTTATAATCATTTTATGCTTAATCGGGGCTTGTGTGGAGCAAACTCATGGAAACCAGGATGGTTAAAGATGTGGGCATGTATTGATCAAGTATGGAAAATTTGTCAAGATCTAAATCAAAGGGACATTTACTGACGCCCAACTGTAGTTGTTTTTCGACCTCAAGGAGGTACTCGACTCCGCTGAGCGACAGGTTTTGTGACGATATTTGTTAGCAAAAGGTGTACCGAGAAAGTAAATCAACCTTATGAAAACCCCTCACCCAAACACTATTGGTCAGAGCTTATGATAAAACGTCATTGAAATTATAAACCTCGAGTGGTGCGCATCAAGGTTGCTCACTAACCTTTTTATTTAGTTTCGTCATGTCTATATAAAAAACAAATTCCTCACTAAACTTTTCATGGGCTGGTCATTCTAGAAACTCATTAAACGACAATGAGTAAGATGACAATCCTATTTGGTGAGGACACAAACACAGTTTGCTTCATAATATTCTATGGACGTGGAATATAGGCTATAAAAGTAGAAGACATGCGTATGCTGAAGGTTTTTGACAATAGGTGTCTTCGAAGCATTGCTTGCCTATCGTGGAACGATTGGGTGACCAATGCTTGGGTTAGGTAAAGGGCACTAGACAAAAATGGCAAATCGGTTGATGAGGCTGTTAGCTTTCGTCGACTGAGGTGTTTGGGACATATGTTACGTATGCTTACCTCAACGTAGTCGGCCAAATAAAAATGTGGCATCATTTCGTGAAGTCGGTGTCTGTTAGTTTGTACCACATTGGTAGGTGCAGGCTAGTTGATTGAAAACCACACAAGAATTATGATCAGTGGTTGAAAGCATCGGGCGACATGGCTCAGTATAGGTCACTCGTTAGCTTTCGCTGAGTCTTGAGCCTCAATAAAACTTCGTACTTTATATTTATCGAGTGTATCTATTCTTTTTGAACTGTATCGTCTGATGTTTAGTTTCACTACCACTGATATTTCACTGAATTAAAAGAGCAAAACAGAGTCAATGTGAGCTTGTCGAATAATGTGACGGTTTGCCTGCACTAAGTGGCAAAATGACTGTTGTATGAGGGCTCATGATGTAAGTGTATG